GCAGCTGAACTTGCTGGGCAGTACCACGTAGTGGGGGAGAGTTAGGACCAGCCAGCACATCCGAGTGGGGAACCTGAGCCATAGCCATGCGTGCCTGCCTATGTTTGGTCTGTGTTGCCAGTGTCTGATAGCAAGTATAAGCACATGTGGCCATCCTGGACGGGTTCAGAGCCAAGCACAGGCCTGAAGGACTGTCTTGATACCAGGGGTTTGTACTCACTTTGCAATGAGCCCACACGTTCACTGGCTGTGCTCAAATGGAGAAGTCTGGATGGCTGTGTCAGGGCTCTTCAGGGAAGAGAAATATGAGCTGAAGTCCAAGACATGGACCTGCCAGTGGCCTTGCTTATTCCTCTTTTCATTTGGTGGCTGAGGGTGACAGTGGGTGACTTGTCAAGGCCTAGTTGTGAGCGTCCTGTCTTGCTCCCTCCAGAGTTGTCTCGCAGCTCCTGGCTGAGCTTGATGGCCTTCATTCCACCAGAGAGGTATTTGTCATTGGAGCTACGAACAGGCCTGACCTCCTGGATCCAGCTCTGCTCCGGCCGGGCAGGTATGTTGCATCCTACTGTGCCTCGCTCCAGGGTAGTTCCCCAGAGCTCCTCAGGCAGTGATGAGCTGGACTGTGTCGCCACCATGTTCCCTCCACAGAGACTGTTCCTAAAGCCCCCTGGCCCTGGCTTGTGGGGGAGATAGGAAGCCAAGAGGAGGCCAGTGCCTATGGCTGTAGCAGCAGCACAAGATACCACTGCTCGTTATCCCCCACCACCCTGGTTATTGCCCCAGCAGCACAGCAGGGCGATAAGGGACCTGCTGTGGCACCAAACTGGTGGGAGGAATTGGTCCCCCAGGGCCTGTTCTGCAGAGCTACCTGTAGCTGACAGACACAGCCTGTCCTCATGCCTGTGGCTTGCCCATCCTGGGGCTGGACTTTGTATCTGCTGTTGCTGGAGCTCACGTAGTTCCTGTCAGCCCGTTTCTCCAGCCTGCCCCAGTCCCTCTGAAGAGCAGCCCTGCCCTCCAGCACGGGCTCCCCCATTGACAGCTCCCCCCAAGACAGCCCTGCCCTCCATTGCTTCCCCCCCAAGCTTTGTATCATCCACGAATTTGGCAGCAAAAGGAGCTGCCCCAGGACTACCCTTCAGTTTCTGGTGCACAGGGCTGAGTACCAGTGGAAGGTTTGTCTTCGCCTGTTCTCAACTGTGTCTCCTCTCTGCTGACAGGTTTGACAAGCTGGTCTATGTGGGCATAAACGAAGACCGGGAGTCGCAGCTGCAGGTGCTGAGCGCCATCACCAGGAAGTGAGTGACCCTGTGCTCTCACAGCAGCCTTCCACCACCCTCCAATGGGTCGCAGCCTTCCTGGGGTTGGTGCGTAGTGTGCTCCAGCTTGGCTTCATGTCTGAGCCCTGGGGAGCACCTGAGTCACTGACCCACAGCCAGCAGGTAGGGGAAGAGGATGTGGCAACTCCAGAAGCAGAACTGGGGCTGGCTTTCCTACAAGATGGGAGCAGCTGAGCTGGCTGTCCAAGTGGAGGGTAGAGTTCTTCAGTCACGGTGCCCACATGCTCTTCCCGAGGAGCTCAGCCAGATCCTAACAGTGTGATGAGACTGCAGTGCAGCAACATGGCAGGAAGCTCCCATTTGCTTCCTGCAAGAGTTCCCCTAGCACATCTCCTGCTGTTTGCCGGTTCAAGGGTGAAGGCAGCTCTGTTCATCTCTCTGCCTCTCCTCCTCTGATGCTGAGGGGTGTTCAGCCTGTGCTCTGTTTTTCCAAACACTGGTTGTGTGGGATCACCGAGCAGTGGGGTTTGGCTGCTTCCCCAGCTGCTTTGAGCTCCTGAGAGCGTCTCTGGAGGGAGAAAAGCAAGCCCTGCAATTCAGGTGCAGAGGTACCACCCACCACAGCTGGGTGAGCAGCTGTGAATCTGCCTCTGCAGGGACTTTCTGTCTTGGATAGCTGTGATCGCTGCTGCCTTTGATGATAAGCTAGCAGGAGAGGCAAGAGTGTGGGCTGGCTGTGAGCATCTTTTCACACCATGTGGCTTGGCAGTCATGCCCTCCAGCACCGTGCTGTTGTTCGTGCTGAAGGAGGCTCACTGTCTGCAGCGTGGCTCTGATGGGATGGTTTGGTGTTACAGTGGTTTGTATTGTCTGTAATTAAACATGTTCTTATCCAGCCCTGGCTGTAGGCCGTTCCCAGGCATGTGGAGCACTTAATTTCTCTGAGTGAGAACTGAAAGTTGCCTTTGATCCTACTTAGCAGGAGAGAGGACCTTGCAGCGGGGATGTTTCAAAGACAAGTGACTGCATTGAAAAAACAAACAAACCAACCCCTTTGATTTTTTTGGAGCATGCAGAGCACAGTCCAGAAGCGGCTAGACGTCGGGCCTCTGATTCCTCCTGCCTAGTCACACTGGCTGCCCTGTCTCTTCTTGTCTGTTTTTTCTGTGGCTTTTACACCTGCAGTTTTCTCTCTTGGCAGGTTTAAACTGGATCCTTCTGTGAATCTCACCACTGTCCTAGAAAAATGCCCGGCTCAGCTGACGGGAGCAGACATCTATGCCCTGTGCTCAGATGCCATGATGTGTGCTGTCAAACGCAAGGTGGAATGGATCGAGGAAGGTAGGAGCCCAGTCCCTACCTGTCCCACGTGTTGGGGCGGCCCAGCACAGGGGCAGAGAGGAGAGTTACCACTACTGGTAACTGGGCTGTGTGAGAAGAGCCTTGACGGCTTTGGGACCACATCTGAATGTTAGGCTCTGGGTTACTGGCAGGCAGGCGGTTTCTGTAGATGTGATCACCTTCACCTCCAGTGCTTGGCCCCGGGGAGAAGGAGAGAGACACAGGTTTTCTTTCCAGTCTCCGGTGGCTGGAGAGGGGGCTGTTGGATCTTGCCAGCCACCTCTGCGCTTGGCTCTCAGCCTTTTCCTGTTCTCTCTCTCATGCAGGGCTGGATACCGAGAGCTCTGCTCTGATCCTGACCATGGAAGACTTCCTGCAGGCTGCTGCGAGGTTGCAGCCGTCGGTCTCCGAGCAGGAGCTGCTCCGGTACAGACTCATCCAGCAGAAGTTTGCTGCCTGCTAATGCTCAGCAGAGCTGGGGCTGGAGGAGTGATGGGGACAGTGTGTTAAGGGGTGCGAGAGAACAGGCACGAACAGGCACAAACAGGCACCTGCCCGCTCTTCTCTGATGGCTCCTGGGCCCCCTTCTTTCGAGTTTGGGTGGAAAAAGTGGCTGTGCAGTTTCTTCAGCCAAAGCCTGGTGGAGGCGCTGCTCTGCTCAGCCAAGCTGGTGGTGGGTCCCTCACATCTCGGGGAGCACTTTGTGGCTGCCAGGAGCATACCGGGGTGACTTCCTCGCGGGCACGAAGCCGAGTCTCGTGGTTGTGGGCAATGTAGGAGTGTCTCCATGGGTGACAGAGCATTGAGGGGGGAGCAAGGCCCAAACTGCACCCAGTTTGGCAGCAAGAGTGGGGCTGGAGGCAGTTGCTTGCTGGGGCATCAGCCCCCAGTGAGGGGTGCTGGCCAGAGGGCAGCAGGACACAGGGCACTGCTGCTGCAGCTGGCCTGGGCTCGACATGGTCTCTGAATAAATACAGGTTTTTGGCACCAGGTATTCACTGCCTGGCCTCCGGTCTTCGCTTGCTGATGGTGTCTGTGGGCTCAGGAAGGTCCCTGCAACCCCCCAGGCGGGCTGGGTGTTGCAGAGAAACCATTGTCCTGCAGATAGAGGGGGGAACACACCCGCGAACTGGGCTGGGGCCACCCTTGTCCAGCAAAGGTTGCCAGAATGGCTGGAGCCCACGGTGGATGAGGAGAGGCCGAGGGAGTTGGGTTTGCTCAGCTGGGAGCTGAGCTCCCTCTGCAGAGGGAGCCCAGTTCTTCCTGGAGGCACTAGGTGACGGGACGAGGCAATGGGGGCAAGTGCCAGCAAGGGAAATTCCCACCGCATACTAGAAAAAAAAATGTGTCACAGGGAGAGGAAGGGCTCCAGCCTTGGAAATACTCGACCCTTGGCTGAAGCAGCCCAGAGCTGCCCTGTCTGCACTAACTTGTGCTGAGCGCCAGTTGGCCCAGACCCCCCCTGAAGTCCCATCTCGCCTCCTTCTGCAGCCTTGTGGCAGCTGCCAGCATGACTGCGTGTGCCCTGCTTCCCAGCCTTTGCCAAGGATGCCAAATAAATCCCCACTTGAGCCGTATGTGGCAGCCAGCTGCCCAGCAGCTTCCTTTGCCTCTGGTAGATCCCTGCAGCTGCTGGTGCGGCTCGTGGCAGCCCCACGTTAAGCCAGGGGCCTGTACATGCCCCAGCCCAAGGGGTCGTTGCTGCCAGGCTTTGCCCCGCTGCTGCCTGCACCCAGACTGCTGGCGGTTGTGTCCCTGAGCCAGGTGTGGCTGGGGAAGACCACCTCCCCGCTGAGCTCCTCTCCAAAGGGCTGGTTCTCCATCACGAAGACCCAGCTGACACGTGCCTCAAGCCCTGTTGCTCTGGCTCTGGCACCTGAGCGTGTTCAGGCAGAGCTGTCCCCGACCGCAACGCGCTGCTGGATCTGGCCACCACCTCTTCCCCAGGGCGGGCAAGGAGGGAGCTGCAGCCACATCAAAAGCGCTGGTGGGGTGTGCGGAGCCTCTCCCCCCTGGGAGCTCTGGTGAGGGGGTGGGCACCCCTGGAGGCCGGGTGGGGGGGGGGGGGGGTGCGAGGGAGAAAAGCAGTTGCTGTACACCCCCATGAGCAGTGCTGCAGTGGGATCGGCAGTGATGTGCAACCACCCAGGAGCCAACCCACCCTTGTCTCCGCTTCAATGGGAACCCCAAACCCCACACCACAGGCATGACTGGCACCTGCAGCCGGGGGCTTGGGGGTGAGGCTGTGCCTGCACCCACCCCATGCTCCCTCCAGGCTGGGAACTTCCTTCCCTGGGAGTCCTGAGGCAGCTGCGGCCGTCCCCCTTGCCCCATACCCTGCCCATACACGGATACATGGACACACGGACCACGGGCTCCGGTAGCTCTCACGAGTGGTCTTAATTAACGGGTGAGGGCTCTCGGTGATGGCCCCAACCCCCTGCTTGTCCCCAGAGCCACTCGCAGCTCTCAGCCACCACAGTCTCGTCCCTACGGCTCCCTCAGGCCGTCTTCTTCACGACGTGGATGAAGTAGCAAGGGACGTGGGCCTGCCCCGGCGTGTAGGGCTGGAAGTCTCCCAGCACGCTGTGCTGGCACTTCCCCTGGAAGGCGCCTTTCAGCAGGGCCGTGAAGGCCTCCAGCCGGTGCGGGTAGTACGAGAGCCGAAACTTGCTGCAAGGAGGCAACGATGGTGAGGTGGGGACGGTGGGGCGGGGCGCCAGCCAGCCCCCCCCGTGCAGGGAGCCACCCCCGCAGCACCTCTCACCTCAGCTCTGGGGCTGCCCCCGCCTCGGTGGGGGGGACCTGCACTGTGTAGTCCAGGGTCACCATGTGTGCCTTGTTGTTTACCAGTAGCACCGAGGTGGTGATGTCCTTGGTCAAGTCACTCTGGGGGACCGCAGGAGGATGTCTGTGCCCTGCGGGGATGCAGTGGCCCCCGGCCTGGGCACAGCCCTGCTCCCTGGCCCCGCCTGGCCCCCTCGGGGCCAGGGGGCTGGGGTTGGGGCAGAGGGGAGTGGGACTGGGGAGGGTCTGCCAGCCACCGACCTTGTAGTAGATGTTCTTGCCAGGCGGCGCACAGCCCGTGGCCAGGATGTGGTCATAGTTGCGGTGGTCGATGACCAGGACACCCCCAGGCCGCACCATGCTGGCGATGTTCCTCAGGGCCAGCTTGTGGTCACTCTGGTCCCCTGGGGAGGAAACCGTGGTGTTCCCAGGCACTGGCTGTGCCCCATGGCACAGCCCATGGGGCCCCATCTCACTCAGACACACACACACCCCCCGCCCCCACCAATTCCCCC